ACACACACACACACACACACACGAACCAGCTTCACTCATCTTTAGAAAAGAGATAAACAATGTTTAACTTGGCTCTAGAAGTGTCTCATCATGTCACAAATTTTTTTTGCAATTATTCTCATTTAACACATTTGTTTTCGTGTCTGATTAGAAGACTCTAATGTAGATTATAACCCTCAGAGAAACTGAGGTCACAGAGACGATCATCTTTTTAACTATTCATTCTCCTTTTTGCACTTTGCCAGACTTCCCTCTCCTCCAGTCTCTGTTCCCATCACTTTGATTATTTAGGAGCTCTGATGAACCTAATCATAAAGAGGATTGAAACAAGAGAGTGTGGGAAGGGGAGAGTGAGACACACACAGGAAGAGAGGGACGAAGTGAAGAGGTCAGGGGGGACAATGAGAGAAAGAGTGAGGAGAGGAGAGAAGATGAGTGAAGATGAGATGGGATCAGAGCCTCAGGTTATTGAAAAATCATTAGCAGGGCGGCCATGCAGATTATTATTTATGTTTGAAGAAGGGAGTGTGTGTGTGTCAGTTTGGGCACTTCTTCGCCTCTGCACCGGAGGCGGAATGTTCTGGGGTTGTGCATCCATCCCTCCAGCTCTTGTGAACATGATATCTCTTTATGGCCTTGAGGGAAAATCTTTGGATTTTACTCAAAATACTCACAACTTGTTAGATTCTGTTGGTCAAACGTCAAGGTCACCATGACCATGATTCTGTGGGATGGCATTAAGGCGCAGGCATTCACTCGAAAGCTGCACTGCTCCTTGAACAACCGACACAAAGAGACAAAGAATGTTTTAATTGTCCACCAGCCCAACAAATTAAGTGTCCCACTAGGATTTGTCTCAGTAATTGTGTGGAGAGAGCTCCAGGACTCTAAATTCCTTATCTCCATTTGATAAGTTAGTAACACAACCTGCATGAGCATTAATGCAACCAGAGTCCGTATCACAGCCCAGTCTGCAATCTGGCTGTTGCCGCAGCAACCCCATCAGTTATACCACTGTTGTATCTTAGGACTCGTACAAAACCACATTAGGAGAGTAGTGGGTTTTAGTTTCTTTCATTTCTCCATGGAAACTGCCTCACATATTTCCATCTGCTCACCTCTGACCGATTTCACATCAACGCTGAAACACTCTGCAGGATGTCGTGGACTCACAGTTATGTAAACACCCAGCCTACACACAGTGCTGCTAACATCTCCACTCTAGTGTAAAGTCAAATATTAGTAACACCCGGTGTCACTGTAACACTCGGGCTCCAATCCCTGTCAGTGCTGCACCTATCAGACATTTACAAAGTCATTCAGCTGTGGTTGTTGCATTAACAGATCACATGAGCTGAATTTTCACATTGGAAACATCTACTCTGGTGAAGCTAAAGTGGAATAGCAATGCTTGGGATGGCTGCACCAGAAAATCTCATTCAATGTGTAATTTCATTCAAGTAAGTGTCCTAATAACAATAACATATTGCTGTTTGCTTGTTTATGTCTTAGTTTATTAAAAAACGAACACAGACACAGTCAGATCCCCTTAATTTCCCCAGTGAAGCGTTAGGACAGCTGATCCAAAGTAGGAGAAATACAATGGGCTTCATTCCCTACACAGTCACATGGGGTTTTACATAAGCCTGTTTGTGGTCTGAGTTCAGTCATTTGTAGCCATGTCTTGACTCTCCACAAAATTAACATGTGAAATAATCTTATATAAAAGATACAACATGGTGGAAACGTCAATCCTGGTACACACTAGAGGATTTTGAACTCTTAACCGATTTAAGACGATTTAACTAATGTTTAATCTTATAACAGTCATGAACGCATGAACTAGATAATTTGGCCAGAATGTAAGAAATTATTTCCAGAGACTTGGATTCTCCCAGAAACCTGCGTCATTCTTCTTTTCTTTTTTTGTGTGGGTGGCAACAACTTTTAGATGCTGAACTGAAGTGGAGTGTGGAAAACTTGCGTGATTAAACTTGACTGAAGAAAATCAAACATGGAGGTTGACTGACATTGTTTGGTCTGTCTATCAAATATATTGGATATTTAAAATTCAAGATCAGGGAGGCTCTGACCAATTAGTAGCATTACGATTATTTTGTAAACCCCTCACACTTCAGAAATATTTGGGCAGATGATTGGCATTGACTTGCCTTTACCTAGTTTGTTGTGAAGGCTAAATCCTCTAGTGTGCAGCAGTCCCTAAGAACATAACAACTATTTAAGATGTTACTGATTCTGCAAGTCTCTGAACCTCGCGCAAGGAGTTTTATAGAGAAAATATGAATATTATTTCATTTAGCTACAGGTTTTGTATGTTGTGCACTTGATGTCTAAAAGCCACGAAGTTAGTGGAAGAAGTTTAGCTTTTTCACTGTTTTTAAATGAGTTTTGTCTGCATAAAAAATATTTCCTTGCAGGTTAAAGAGAATGATTTGGGTTAAAATACTGTCCTTTGGTAAAAGTAAAGGACCAGAAGCTGGGGCTGGTTTAGGGTTGAACCAGCTTTTCTACAGCTGGAACCAGGAGTGACTGGTCCTTTATTTTTGACCAAAAAATATACGCATTTCAGTGTGCTGCTCTTCAGCAATAAAGCTTGAGATCTCTGAAACTCTGTTCTATAAGCAAACATTCTTTTGCACTGCAAAGCCTCTCTTTATCTAGAGAAAACTGAGCCGGCCCTTGAGCAGGCTTTCTGCACATTAACACAGTATTTTGCAGTCAGAATAAGGCTTAGGAGCTGTAAGATGTCCCATTTGAAAGGTAAATTAACTACAACTCACAATATCCCCCATGCAATATGGATGAAATGCATTAAGAATGAGGCAAAGTATATGTTTGTGAATGGGCAGATTGCTCAAGCTATCAAAGCTGCCAACAGCAAAGCAGAGATCGGTATGGAAAAACAAGTTTATGTGCAGATGAGGCAGCGTTAAGTAGAGTGACAAAATAAATTATCCACACAATATGGTGAGCAAATTGTGGTACTGGTTTTCTCCAGCTTATGATTTATGTCTCAGTTTTATACTGTAATCAACTTCAACCTGGCCAGTAATATAGAGTAATTGTGTGTGTATCAACATGCTTGTATCAGTGCTCGCTCCTCCATGTGGAACAGCTTTCTTTCATTATTCGGCAGGTCTCCTTGTGGGTAGATGCCAGTTCTTTTGCTGCACCTGTTACATTTTCCTCTTTCTCAATACAAACCTGTCGTAATAATGGTGGCAGATTTGCCACTCACAATTCAGTGGGTCCTTCAGATTTTGATTTGTGTGGAAAAGTCCACAGCTCGACAGGGGTTATACGATTACTATGCTGAGCTATGGTTGAGGAGTTTGGCCAACGCTTAATTTCAAAATTAATTGTGAGATTTCCTCTCCCTGTTCTTAAAGGTGCCATTGAATCTGCTTATTCAGTCAGAGAGATCCCCCAAGGTCTTCATCTATTGCCCCATAGAGACCTCAAACACAAGACTGAATACCAAATTTCATATTCTCCTCAAAGAAGAAACATTGGCACTTGTGCTCCTTATCGACATTTGCATGCAGAAATGCTACCACCATGTTCCCTCAGGGGCGCAAATATAAAACGAGCCATGGGGTCGTCATCACCGAGACACAGACACAGCAGTAACATCCCAGCAGGCATGTGGTGGGCAGGAGATGTGTGTTGGATTTTAAACATTACACAATGTAATAGAGAATTTTAAAATGCATGTAAAAAAATACTTTTCTTCACAGCAGTTGGAAACCAGCCTCCTGGACGCATTTTTGCCTGTAAACCCGCAAAACACGTTAGATTGAGGTGCAGATATTCCCACTGGGTGCTGACCGAGGCAGTGCACTCATCCGTCGGGTTTGCTAGCATAATCACATCCCCTGTAATGATAGATGACAGAGTTAGATCTGCTCTCTGTGTAGTGGAATAGTTGAAAATCAGGTGGGGGCTGCAGCAACTGGTGACCATCAACTTCAACATCAAATAGGCCTGTATGTTACCTTGTGCATACAAATCATGGTGTGTACACGTATGTGTGTGTTTGCGTGCGTGTGCATGTGTTGCACTATGCAAATCTGCCTGGAAGCCACATGATGTAAATGATGCAACTCTCTGAAACAAAAGTATTCATCAGGTGTGTGTTTGTTTGTGTGTGTGTGTGTGTGTGTGTGTGTGTGTGTGTGTTGGTACATTGCCATAGTACCATAGATAGTATGGGGTGCTGACATCACAGAGATAAAAGAGAGGCTCACGGCAGAGGCCAAGCACTTATTACACCAACTGTGGTCACAAAAAGCCAACAGTAGTACATCACACAAACACACACACACCAAACTCTATTTGCTGATTTAACTCACTTGTGTAAAGTGTCAGTTTTTTTGTTTCTTCTCGGCCCCTGTTCCTTCGCTTTCCATATCTGTAGATTTTCAATTATACTTACAATTTGTTTTCCTTTCCTCATGTCTTTCAGAATAAAGTTATGAGCATTGACGCTGTGAAGGTCAAACTGCAGGTAAGAACAAAATGTACTTCTATGAATGTGGTTTTTTTTTAATAATAAATCACCAGCGACTGTTTTCCCATCATCCATCAGTCTCCATTTCAGGTGATATATTAGGTACATTTTTTATGAAACTTGCAGGAGTGTAGAGTTTTTTTTTTTAAAGGTAGCACAGAATGGTTGGTAATCCGTTCCATTCAAAGTTCTTTAAATTTGCTACAGATGTTCAGCTGGACTCAAGAAAGAACTGATTTGATCTTGTGAAAGCAGCATCTCATTGACACCTTGAGGGAATTTCCTCAAAGTTGGTACAAAAGGTCCAGTTGGATTTAAAGATGAGCTGATTTGATTTTGGTGGTCCGATGGCAATGTCATGTTCTTGTTAGCGTGATATATCAGAAAAAAGATATAGACCTAATTAGACTTTGGAGGTAAAAGGTCAAGGGCATGTGACCTCACAAAACTATATTGTTGCTTTGTGAACATCGAAGAACCCCTCAAGAGAATCCTTTCAAATATGGCACAAATGTTCACTAAGACTCACAGAATAACTGATCAGAATTGGGTGTTCAACATTCAAGGCCACAGTGGCCTCACTAAACATGTTTTTGGCTTCTTGACCATGATATCTCAATTCTAACCTTTGGGAATTTCTTCAAATTTTGACGAGCTGTGGACTCAAATATTACTGATCAGTGTTCAAAGGTCAAAGGTCATGGTGACCAAACCAGCCTTGAGAAAAATGTACTTATACTGCAACTGCTATCGGTGGTGAAGGTGTACAACCATGAGGCTGTAATTCTGGTTTATCCTCTGTTCATATCAACAGAAGAGCATAAACTGGTCTCATGTGAGCATTGAAATTGAAGTGAGATTATCTTATTCAGGGTAGGTTGTGCATTTTGGGTTTCATCAGAGCCTTTTTCAGCAGCCTGATGCTTCTTGAGAAATTTCTACTGTTAATGCACCTGCAAAAGCAAATGCTCCCTGATAAACTTTCAGATTGAGATCATCATATTTGTGTCATAAATTTGCTGACAGTTATATTCACCTTTAGTCTTCACTTTTCTATGTTAGAATGCGTTATTCTCCAGATGTCCACTGCTTTGACAGATTGTATTTCTACTGCATGTCTCTGATTTCTTACTGAACAGAGGCACGTCAAACATATGCAAGTGTAGTAAAGGGAGCAGAATCAGTGAAACACATGCTGGCGAGAGTAAAACCTGAGAATTAGTTTAGAGGGATACCAAAGGGTGAGATATGTAAATGCCCTTTATAGCATCCAGGCTCACCATTGTCTCTGTCATTATCTTTGTAATGACTCAGCCACTGTAATATCCTGCAATTCTAAGCACAGATGAATAAGTCTGTTGCAGGTAGAATTGAGTCGACCAAAATGTGGCTTATCAGCAGCCCGTTCTTTTGTTCTACTTGGTAGAGACCGTTCGCCCTTTTTGTTCTCACATGACATGCACGCAGTTCACAGCTGATTTACCGTTGCATTTTCTAAATCAGTTTTGAGATCAGCAGCTTTTCATTTCTAGCCATTGATTGGCTGGTTTTATCAGCAGCAACCAGGTAGCAAGCAAATTAATCGATTCGGTTTAAAGGATCAGTGTGTAGGAGGTTATGCTGTATATTGTATAGTGTGTACGGTGGCCTTCAGGTAGAAATAAAAATGAAAGGACCTCTTTAGTAACAGTGTTTAGTTGAGTTTGTTTGAAATGGTAACAGGCAGCATTATATGTTAGTAAATGTTAAACTAGTTAGTACTAGCATACTGCTAATGGAGTCAGTGATGTGCTTACTTTGGCCCTGGAGTTATCACTTGGTTACTCCTGGTGGGAGCTTGGCAGACATGTCGATGATTGATTTGTTCTTCTTTTTAGATATGGGACACCGCTGGTCAGGAGCGTTTCCGGAGTGTCACACATGCCTACTACCGCGATGCTCACGGTAGGATTCCTCAGTGTTTGTTAATGTGAGTGACTGTTTGACTGTGACTGACGTTCTTCCTTTGACTTTTTTATTTTCCACCTTTTGCAAAATGTATTTTTTTCTTCAAATGGACAATTGACAGTGCCCCTCTTTCCTTTTCCTGTCCCCTGGATAGAAAAAAAAAACATTTGCAGACAGATATGTGTGTTTCCGATGTGTGTAGTGTGTGCGCATGTGTGTGTGTGTGTGTACACAGGAATTTGCAAGAGGCTCTGTGATGTGCAAGTTGCCTTTGGTGCAAGGCTAACCACTGGGTGGAAAAATGAGCCTGCCTCTCACACAGTGGGAGATTGGACAGGTATTGCACTGTGCTGTGTGTGTGTGTCTAGCAACCCCACTGAGTACAAATAGCAGTGTCCCTTAGGACAACCTGAATGTGCAGGTGTTGGGTAACACACAAATTTGTTCTGCAGCAAACAAAATAAGATCTTAGTTGGTGGTTGCTGTGAATTTCTATATCTTTCAAATGTATATGTATGAGTGTGTGAGTGCCATGTTGTGGGAAGTGTGGAGATGTATTTGTAATGGTTGTAGGTATGTATGAAATTGCATGTGTTCTTGCTATCTATGTATTTTTCTGAATCATTTAATGCGAGTGTGTGTGGGTGTGTGTACGTTTGGCCAGCTGCCCGTCTGTATTCTGCTCTGTCAGTGCAACAGTTAACCCTCGCTGATCTTTAACAAGGCATCCAGGGAGCCTCAAAGCTGCTCCTCTCACTTGTTCGTCTGCTACTGACTCTTAAATAAAGCTCATTCAGCCCGACAGCCAGGACCAGGGGAGAAGGTTCAGCCTGAACGCAGCTGTCATGAAAGCTGTCGATTCCTATGAACTAGTGGACAGTTTTTCATGACTCATGCTTTGAAATGTAAACATCGGGCGGTCTGAGAGATCTGCCTCGTTACTGAGCAGTGCAAGGTAGGAATGGGCACATTCAAAGTCTAAAAAAAGAGTCAACAATTACAGCGCCTCCACTTTTGATCTGTATCAAGGCACATCCATTTATGTACAAAGAAATTCACCAGGAAAGTGCGCTTGCATGTCAGTCAGCCAACGCAGAGTACAGGCAGATGACGTTGCTGAGCAGAGAGTCAGACTCTTTTTTTCTGCTATGACGTCAGTACACACAAATTCAATTCAGTGGGAGCGTGTGAAGTTCTCTCTGAACCATAGAACATATATAAAGATGAACAATATTTACATGTACTATATAATTTGGTCCATGTCCTATCCACTAACATGGAGAGTTCAAGGTTTGTGACCTATACTACTGCCAGTCATTAGGTGGCGATCAAGGCACTTTGGCTTAACTTTTAGGAAGCAGTCATGTCGTCTATTTTTAAAAACAGTCTATGGTGAAAACAGGCCCTCGGCTGCTCATGAGCCAAGCAGTGCTCTGACTTAAACACTAACACAAGCATATGCCAAGAATGACAAGCTAATATGCTGATATTTGGCAGGTATAATGTTAATCATGTTTTCAGCTTCATAGTTCAACATATTTGCTTGCTACTATTTTGTTAAGGTTGTTGTTTCATAAACCATATAGATTAATTATTGAAGATATGAATAAATTGCAATTCATCACAATGGGACGATGGATATGACCGAGGAAAGTCTTGGTGAACACCAAAGTCACTGGAGTTCATCAGCTGAGACTCATCAATGAACAACATTGTGCAAATCTGTCACTTAGATTTTGAGATATTTATACTGGATAGAGGGCAGTTATGCCAATCAGATGGCGCTGGTGGAAAAATCAGAGTTTAAAGCAAAGATTAATTTTCTGGAGAGCAGGAAGAATAGCGGAATACTAGTAACAAGGGGCCACGTTGGAACTGACACTGCGTTTGCTGCAGGAGGACTCAAGCGTCTTTGTGCAGGGCGTCAGTGCAACCGAGTCACAGAGTTGAACATTTCAAAGTGAAACTTTGCTCCCTGGACAACTATTGATGTTTTATTCATCGTTGGCCTGGATTTTGACCATTATTAAGCCATTAACGAGAGAAACCAAGAAGATCCAGACACTGGGTTGTTGGTTGCAGTGAGCTCAGTGCAATCTGCCTGCCCCATCTGGTGTAGAGGGCGCCGCAAAAGTCCAGGTGGGTCCAGAAACCAGCTGGATTTTTCTCCATCTCTCCCTCCCAGGTGAGCTGACAGTTTGTCATTTCCACAGCATGGAGCGAACCCACAGGGTGTTAAGAGAGACAAGCAGGATCAGAGGGGGGTGACGAGTACCCAGAGGGGGGTAGACAGGAGAGGGAGAGATAAAAATGCAACAGAACACTGGTGAAACTGAGAGAGATAGAAAGCTGATGCAAGGGGGAGAAGGTTATGAGCAAAAAAAAGAAACTAATTCATCAAATCAGAAAAAGGAAAACAAGAGGCCCAGAGGAGCAGAGGAGTCCGACCTATTCAAACAAACAACTAACCTTCATCGCCCTCTGGGTTGGCTGAGGCCAGAAACCACGCTGGAGACAAAAAGGCAACTGATGTGGAGACTAGAGGGTGAATTTAGGGTTAGAGTGGAGTCAGTGTAGGCTTTCAATAGTCTCTGTAATGAAGTGGTGGCACAGGAAAGCAAACACAGAGGAATTGAAGAGGAGCAGAAGGTTGTCTGAAGTTCCCAGATTACAGAGGCCAGAGAGGTTTCACTACTAGACAACAAGATTCAAGAACTGAGGCCGGTGTCAATGTGCTGTGAACAGATTTATACGTTATGTCCCTCCTTCATCATGCAAGCTCTACCAGGAGCATTTGCAAGTTCAACTACTCGCAAATGCATTTTACCTGGAAAATCTCCCATGTATATGTATTCTTCATATGTGAAAGGCAACCTCTGGAAAAAGTCAGGTCCACATTTTCAGGATTTTTTCCTGAGTTTTTCTAACATTAACAAATGATGGACATTCAAAATCCGAAAGTCCTTACCTCTCACCTTATCTCACAGAAAAATAAGCAGAAATCCTAAATATAAAGAAACAGAATGATGGAGTTAATACATTTCATGCAACAATGGCTGCATTACGGATGACGACTCCAAATGGTGGTGTATGTTTGAAGGAGTTGTTGGGGCTGTGCTGTCCATAATGAGGTGCTTGAGCAGCTTAATTTCCATGTAATGACCATCGCTTTCTTTGTTATCCATGGGTAGTGCAGGGGGCGAAGTCGAGTGCCAAACCAACGTACCCACACAGCTTTCTATAAGCGATGGCTGCTCGCCAAGCAGCCGACTACATCATTACTGTTTTTCCTCAAACAGCGAGCATCTTGTTCTTATTGCAATGCCTCGATGAATTAGTGTGTTTCAGAGGTTTTCAAACTATGAGGCAAACCTCTTCAGTATTCTAGAAAAACACAACTGCAGCAGAGGCTATAACATGCAGCTCAATTAAAGTACTTTAGAGCAAGACTATCTAATGACTATGTAAAGAAGAAGTAACGTGGTCGTACAAATAGGAAACTAGAAGGGTGCTCTGAGAGCTAATGCCCTATCACATCATGTGAAAGCAGTGTTTTCCATGAATTGCATGTGGCAACACTGCCACAGTTTAATAAGATAACATTTTTTTGTTAACATGAGTGGGTTCAGGTGTTTTGGGTTCAGGTGTTTTGCTCCATTGCCTCATTGTATGGCTTTGTGCAGCGTTATTTGTGACTTGCTTGCTCGCACCATCATCCTTAAAGTTGTTACAATCCACACAGACAGTCAAGCCTCCTAGTTTCAGCTGCAGTTGTTTCCGTCCCTGCACATGGCATGCAATGCAGTTCTTACTCTCACATGAGAAGGTGCAACAAAATCCCTTGATCTGCCCATTTACTTGACATGACAGCTCCCCAAAAGTGAAGCCAAAGCATCTGGATGTATACTCAAGGGCTAAACTTTAAACTTTAAATTTGCTTTTAATAAGTTATTAATTATTAATTAATTATTATTTAATTTAATTCTATAAAAATGTAGTGAAATGTCATGATTGAGACTGACCTGTCAATTGCCGAGTGTGTGTATCGTCAGAACCTCACCACCTGCAAGACTCTGGCTCCACATGTGCAGGATGGCAGTGTTCATATCAGGGACATTTTAGGTCTGAAAACATTGTGCCGACTCAGGTGTTTCCACATCTAATGGTCTGTACTCTCCCAAAACCTGCTGCAAAGCGTCTTTAACTTTCTGCCATGGCTGGAAAAAAGCCACAACAGTGAAGATGCAGGAACAACATAGTGACAAACGAGAACTGTAGGACGGATAGAGACAAAAATCAATTTCTTACTAAATCAGTGTCATTGCCTCATTATGTCTTTGCTCTGCTCTGCCTCATTCCGTCCAGCCCGCTTCATCTTTTATTCCCTCTGTTCCAACTCCTTGAGTTACTGCTTTCATCACTAATGAGAAAGAGTGTGGGCCTCAATCAGCGGCAACCTGTGGGGGCGACACAAATCCTGACTAAGACGGGAGGATGGACTGCAGGAGGGGAACAGCGATCGAGAGTTGAGCGGAGAAAGTACGAGAGGAAAATTAATAATCAATGGAAAAAGAGAGGAGTGAGAGGGAAGGAGAGAAGGAAGTAGGGAGGTGATGAAGAAGAGGGAAACGACAATGGGAAACAAAACATTAAAGGGAAAAGCCATGAGCTGCGCGATCCGTCATCAAGCTTTCTCTTTGACACACAGGCAGACACACACACACACACACACACACACACACACACAGTTTCTTGTATTTTCAGACAGATGTCCGAGGTCACATTCAAAGACATTTTTGAGGCTTTATTCCTGAAGATGTGTGTGAGGTGAGTTCAGAGGAGGAAGCTCAAAAGGAATGCTGTGTGTGTGCGTGCTTATACTCTTCCACTGAACGTATTGTCTACAGACTAGAATACACTGACCTCCAGCTCTCATATTCCAAACACTTCATCTGTTCATTCCTATTCAACATTTGTTTGAAAAGGCCATGTCCAAA